TGGGGTGGGGTGGGGTGGGGGAGGGATAAAAATTTGGTGCATTGCCGGAAATGAAGAAGAAGAGCTGAGAGAGCAAGGGGTTACAGTAATATTGGCAGAAACAACAGGAGAACAGGTGGGGAAGTTGGCTGCAGAGGTCAGGAGCCGATCACAGCTGTGAGTGTGTGTATGTGTGTGCGTGTGTGTGTGTGTGTGTGTGTGTGAGCAGCGCGTGCCGAGCCACGTGTGAGAGACAGAACAGGCCCACTTCCTGCCGAGCGAAGAGGGAATCCAATACGGTTAATTGACGAGCCGAGCAGTTTATGTAACCAGGCTCTGTCTGCTGCCCCCCCCACCACCATCATCATCTTCAGTCCCGTCCAAACACACACACACACTGTCACACTCTTCCTCAGCTCTGAATGAATAATTCCCATCAGGACAGGAGCGTCTCCAGGTCCGTCCTGCTCTGGCTCTCTGCAGCAAAGCCCAGGTGTGCTCTCAGCATCTGTTGCCATGGCAGCGAGGGAGAGGAGGTTGTCTCCCGGGTGACGGCTCCATCGAACCACAGGTGTACCGTTCTTTGTTGACACACCTGCACACGCACACAGCTCCTCTCTCATAAACACAGCAAACAGAAAAAAGTCAGTTTTGTTTCTTCAAATACGTTCATTTATAAAGGAGGAAGTTGGTTTGAACAGAAAAAGGCACACAGACGTAAACAAAARCAAGTTTTAGCACTTCAATGAAAACTGATCCACGCCTGCATCCACAGCCTATTGAYCATGTTTGAAACGTCACATTCACTCGCCAAGCAATCATTTCAGGTTTTCTTTGAGAATTACACGAGCAGCTACAGTACATTTTGTCCTGGACTTACAGAGCAGCAAGAAGAGAGTAAAGTGAATTATTAAAGCAAGTTTTCACACTGTGAGGAAAAAAATAAAGCTATTGTTGAAAGGACTTGTGCTTCCATGACTTCAGGCTTCCTCACTGTCTAAATGAATGTCGAGGACAAACAGGAGAACTTCCTGCTGTGTAATTCTTCACACTTACACATAATTTATCTTTGTTGTCTTGAAACAGCTCCTAGAATAGAAACTTTTACATGACAGAGTACAATGATGCATCGGAGGTTTGTAGAAAAAGCAAAACAAAAACAAAATCAAATAAAGAAATTTAACAGAGAAACAAAGTTTTTTTTTGTTGCCATTGTTATACATACCAATAATATAAAAACATCTTTGCAAGCCAAAGCATGACTTGTGTTAAAATAAAACAATAAATTAATAAA